AAGCTGTACCCCCCTCCCCCATTTTCTTACACTCTTTCCTATCAGCTGTCCTTTCTCTGCACCCAGAAAATATATTTCTGTCATTGTGGATTTTTCTGATTTTTTTCCTTCTTGTCATACGGGAGATTGAGTTCAGGATGGTCACACTGCAGCTACATCACGCCAGCCCTCTTAGTGATGAGATAACCCTGTCTCTGTAACTTCCCCAGGCTGTTGCTGAATTTAGCAGTTCTCCTGCCTCAGCCTCCCAGAGTACTGGAATTATGGATGTTTAATGCCACCTGCCCAGCTTCTAGAGTTTTAATAAGGGCTTGGCGTAATCAGTTCCTGTGATACGTACAGTGCCCCCTTCAGCATCTGTGTGGGGGCAGTTTGGAGAGGGTAACTGGGACCTCAGGAACCAGCAGTCTCTGGCTCTCTCATTAAAGGTGCAGCGTACAGACAAAGGAGGTGGGCTGGGATGTCCCTGCAGAGACCACCGTTTGTTCTCAGGGATACCTAACCCATGGGTCAAGATGAGTTTTGAAACATCGTTTTTTTGAAAAACTACAGGAAAATGTCCCTTAAAACGCACCCGAGGTTACTGAGCAACTAAGATTACCTTGTATTGCAATTTAAAAACACTCATTATATACCCCAAGCTGGCAAGTGCTGGGATTATAGGCCTATGCTGCCACACCCAGGTGGGCTTATTTCTGAACTCTTGTTGTTTTTGGGGTTTTTTGTTTGTTTGTTTTGAACACAGACTAAAAATCAATTTTATGTATGTATCTAAAAATGACATCTAATGTTGCTGTGTATAGCTTAATAAACACAGTTTATTTCACGCCGTCATATTTATTGTTTGGCAGATTGTTTGGGTTCTGAGTGTTAAACCCAGGGAAAGCTGAGCTTCGTGTCCAGCCCCTTTTGCCTTTTTTGAGGCAGGGTCTTACTAGGTTGTGCAGGCTGGCCTTGAACCTAACTGTGCTCTTCCCTCAACCTGCCCAGCAGAGGGGATTTCGTGTGTGTGGCCATCAAGCCAATCAGTGTACACTATCTTTATTTTAACATTGTTTTGAGCTCTAGTGCCTGATAGCTAGCTATAGATTCCGTGAAAATATAATATCTTGGTTTGCAAAGTGTAGTCTTTTTATTTATTTTTCCTTTTTTTGAGTCAAGGTCTCACTATGTAGGTCAGGCTGGCCTTGAACTCTTACGTAGCCCAGGCTGTCCGGGAACTCTGGGCAGTCCTGTCTCAGCCTCTTGAGTGCTGGGATTACAGGCATGTGCCACCATTCCTGGCGCAAAGAGTGGTCTTATGTTCCAGTTAATCTGGTATTATTAACAGTACCAATTTTAAATCTTATAATGTCATTAGTTTAGATAAAGAGGTTTCTATAGAGAATAAGCCAGAATTTGCCCATCTTCCATTTGATGAACATTAGGTTGTTGCCAGTTTTACTTAAGGAGGCCAGCAGTTCTGTTTGTCTGTTGTTGTCGTTATTGTTAATGTTGTTTTGAGACAGAGTATCTTGCTCTGTAGCCCAGGCTGCCTTTGAACTCTAGTCAGTCCTCCTGTCTCTCAGCCTCCTGAGTGCTGGGATCACTGCTGTGCATCATCACCACGCCCAGCCTTCTGTTTGTGTCTTATGCATGTGGATTTGTTTCTATATTCATATATGGGCCTAGAGTTGCCACGTATCATCAGCATTAGATCACAGGAACAACCTGTTATGGTGTCCCATTATTTGCTGGGCTGAGGAAAAACACCAACCGAATGAAAATGCAGACTGCTAACTGCATTTTCTTCACTGTGGTTGTACCAGTTGAGGCTCTCTCTTCAGCAGTCTTGTTCACCGTTCTCTGCCTGCCTCTTTACCGGATTTTCGAATTAACTCATGCTTTAATATTCTGAGGTGTAGAGGGGAAGTGATAGGTTTTAATTTGTATTTTTCTAGTAACTTATAAATTCCGGTTATGTGTTCTTTTTTCTGAGGCAGGGTCTGGCTGCGCTGTTTAGGCTGGCTGAGAAGCAGTGATCCTCCTGTTTCAGCATCCCAAGTAGGACAGGCATGTACTGCCACACCCAATTTTCCAGTTCCCTTTCTTTTGTGCGCTTTTCTCTTTAACTGTCTTTATGTGGGATTTGTTTTTTTTGCGGGGTGGTGGTGGTGGTGGTGGTGGTTTTGTGTTTTGGTCCATGGAAAGAACCCAGGCCTTCTGCGTGCCGAGCCTACTCTACCACTGAACTGCATGAGCTTCTAGCACTACAGGATTATTGTGATTTTTTTTGGTTTATTTGTTTTTTTACCGGGGATCGAACTTGGAACCTTGTCCTTTTGAGGCAGGCAGTGGCACCACTGAGCTACATTCTCGGTCCTATTACGCTGTTTTTTGAGGCGGGTCTCACTATGTAGTTCATGGTGGCCTTGAATTCGCAATGGTCCTCTTGTCTCAGCCTCCAGCGTGCTGAGATTATAGGTGTGCACCACCATGCCTAGCTGTGGTGCTGCTTTATTTATTTTTTTATTGAGTTTATTGGTACATTTTAGGTATACAGTACAGTTACATTCATCATTGGGATCTTGAACCTCTATATGACAGGTCTTGGTTCTCATTTTTCCCCTTGTCCCTGCCCTCCCTTCACCCCCTCTTCCCCTCCCCACTTACAAACACTTTATTTCCATTTTTTCATTTTCTCCTTTTTTTTCTTTTCCCTGATTATCTTTCCCCTACCCTTCCCACTTTCCCTACACCTTTAGCCCTTTTCTTCCTATTTCACATGGTCACTTATCTCATTAGGATCTTATGTACTATTATAGTTTTTTGCACCAGAGAAACTATTTGGTATTTACAGATGTGTGACTTATTTCACTTAGGAGTATATCCCCAATATGTATCCATTTTCCTATGAATGAATCTAATTTCTCATTCTTTGTGGCTGAGTAGTATTTCATTTTATAGAAAAACCACATCTTTATCTAGTTTCCAACTAATGGGCAAATGGGCTGTTTCCACGTTTTAGCTATTACAAACTGTGCCGCTATATGTGGTACTGTTTTAAAAGTTAAGATGTTAGGATGTGAACTAAGGATTTGTTTTCCCAGTCTGAGCACACAGGCGAGTTGTCTTCCATATAGTTTTCATGTGGGGAGACCTGTGGTCCTAGGGCTGCAGTCTTTTTCATTCTTATAGGAAGTGATCCTATTTTGATTTCCCTAGAATACGGAAATAGTCCTGTTAGGGACAGGGAAGGGTGGGATATAGACGTACTTTTCACTGTGATTAATATTTTAGTGCCAACAATAACAGCTAAATTTACTCAGTGCTGTTAAGACTTAGGATGCCACTCTTAGATTTCTTTTGTATGTGTTGAAGATTGTGAACTATTACTTTATAGGTATGCTTAAAAAGTTGAGTAAGGTATAGTCTGAGCTCTTAAGAAATGCAGTCTTTTTTGTTTTGTTTGTTTGTTTTTTTGAGACAGGGTCTCACTATGTAGTTCAGACTGCTGTGGAGCTCACTGTGTAGCCCAGGTTGATCTCCAACTCTCAGCGATCCTCCTACCTCAGTCTCGTGAGTGCTGAGATTGATTGCAGGCGGGTGCCTCCATGCCCGGCTAAGAAATGAAGTCTTAAAAAGAAAAGGAATATATTTAGAGCCAGATGTGGTACATGCCTATAATTCCAGCACTGGAGAGGCTGAGGCAGGAGGATGGCCATGAGTTTGAGGCCAGCTGGGTGACATAGGGAAAACCTGTCCCCTTGATCCCCCCAAAAAATTTCTATTTAGGAAAAGTCTGGCATTCTTTCACTTCAGTATGTTAGCTTTTTTGTAAAAAAAAAAAATTAATTTTTAGCTTTTTGAGACAAGGTCTTGCTGTGTAGTTCATTCAGGCTGGCCTTGAACTCAGTGGATAGCTCAGGCTGGCCTCAAACCTGTGGCGATCCTCCTACCTCAGCCTCAAGTACTGGGGTGACAGGCATCCACCATGTCCAGCTGCTTTTTTTTTTCTTTTTTCTTTTTTTTCTCCTGGTGTTGTTAGAAATGGAACCCTAGATGTTGATGGTATTAGAGAAGTGCTCTACTGAATTATACATCATGCTTTCCTAGTCCATTTTAAGAAAGGAAAATTTACATGGGAACTCTAAAATATAAAAATGTAGAATTTTGGCTGGGGGTTTCAAGGTCCTGAGTTTGATCCCTGGTGCCAAAAAAAAAAAAAAAAAGTAGAATTTGGTTTATGTAAGGTAATGGGAACATGTCAAAACATGGAAATGAGAAATTATAGATAACTACAAATAATCTCTAATGTCATCTTTAAATTTCGAAGAATCTGGAGCCAGTGAGGAAATCTGAAGTTACAGACCAAGAGCCAGGCTAGGTCTATTTCAGGTTAGTCTACTTGGAAGTTACTTTCTTAGGAGCCAGATGTTCCTTGCTGCTGCTGTCTTCACTGTGCCTGCAGCCCGACTCTTCAGCAAGGCTGGGGATTTGTCCCATGCTGTAGGTGTTTACTTCATAAACAGGTAGGTGGAGCCAAGTGTGGTGTTGGGTTGGGCTGTACCTGCCTGCTTGGAGAGCAGAGGAAGATTGCCTGAGCCCAGGAGTGGGACACCGGCCCGAGCAGCATTGTGAGACCCCATCTCAAAGGAGAAAAAAGATACATCAATGAACTCGATTAATCTCTTCACATTGCTTGTTCTCAAATGACCGAAAATTGTTTTGCCCATCCTGTTGAAGCAAACCAAACAAGGTGTGGTGGTAATGTGCTTGTGATCCCAGTGCTCTGGGAACCTGGGGCAGAAGGATCTTGCAGGTTCCAGCCTACTGTGTGTGATTTGTGGAGACCCTGTCTGAAAATAAAAATTAAAGAGGACACAGTGTAAAGAAGGCCCTGTGTTCAAGTGACGTACCACCAAAAAAACAAAAACAACTTTACGCAAAAGGTTGGACTGTGTCGTGGAAGAATTTTTTTTCAGATTGGACACAACTTGATTTTTGAATCTCTTTTTCAGGTTGAATTGACCAAAGCAATGGTTATGGAGAAGCCGAGTCCCCTGCTGGTCGGGCGGGAGTTTGTGAGGCAGTATTACACCCTGCTGAACCAGGCCCCGGACATGCTACACAGGTGAGACACTGCGCATCATAACCCTACAGGGTTGTTGCATAATAGCTGTGGATTGAACCCAGGGCCTTCACACTGCACTGCATCCCCAGCCCTTGTTTGTGTTTTAAATGACACAGGATCCTGCTAAGTTGCCCATGCTGGGTTCAAATTTTCCTCAGCTTCCCAGAGTGGTGGGATTATAGGTGTGTGCCACTATGCCTGACACAAAAGAATTTTCTTTTTTTTTGGTACGGGAATCAAACTCAGGACCTTAATGCTTTTGAAGCAGGTGGCAGCGCCACTGAGCTAAATCTCTGGCCCTCAGAAAAGGTTTTTTTGTTGTTGTTGTTGTTTTTTGAGACAGGGCCTCACTATGTAGTGAGACTGACCTGGAACTCCCTGTGTAGCCCATGCTGTTCTCCAACTTGCAGGGATCCTCCTGCCTCAGCCTCCCTAGTGCTGGGATTGCAGGCGTGCACCCCCAAGCCCGGCCAGACAAGAATTTTTTAAATGATGTCCATATTAGAAAATTTGACTTAGCTGAACTTGTGTCAGAGACTTAACCCCTGAAAATGTAAAAGGATAAATGCCCATTACTTAGAAAGTACTGAAAGCCGGCTGTGGTTCTTGCTTGCGATTCTTTCACTCAGGAAGCTGCTGCAGCTGAAGGAGGAAATAACCCTTGAGCTGAGAGTGAGTGAGCTCTAGGCCAGCCTCGACTACACAGCAAGACTTGTTTCCTGAGAGGAAAGAAAGAAATGGGGAGATTCGAGAGTGTTCTGTAATAACTTGTTTTTGTCAGCATGCTTTTAGCAATTGGAATATCTTCTTAGTGCAAATGATGTATGCTTGTTATAAGCTAAAGCACAGATGTATAAAATGTGCAAAGGTAGTGAGTGTGACACCTGTAGTCCCAGCACTTGGGAGGCTGAGGCAGATTGAGGCCAGCCTGAGCTATATAGTGAGAGCCCGATTCACAAAACCTTCAACACAGTTTGTGAGGCCTGGGAGTGCGCCTCAGTGGTAGAATAGTTAGCATGCAAGAGACCCTGGATGCAATCCCAGCAGCACAAAAAACAAATTATGGAAGTACCTGGTAAGACTAACAGTTTTTTTGTGTAGGTGCAGATATGTTTCACAGCACCACCTTTATTTTTGGTACTGGGGATCGAACTCAGGACCTTGCCCTTGTGAGGTAGGCAGTGGCACCACTAAGCTAAATCCCCAGCCCAACACCACCTTTTTTTAAGCTGACTTAATTTGGTAATCTACAGGCAGGACAGTCCATGTACCGTGTTAATTTTTGTGGCTAACCACACATAGCATACTTTATTTAATATCCTAATGATGCAGGTTATCACCAGTACTTCCTTTATAGTGCTGCATTATATAAAACTGTGTGGACTGGTAGAATAATTTCATGGTAAGTTCCAAAATGTATATTTGCTGTACAAGAACTATGTTTTTCTTTATACTTTGACCAGCATATTGCATGATTATGAGATATAAAAAAATTTATAAATTCATTTTCAGCCCATGATTGGTTTTGCTCTGAAAATAGAAATACTTTTTCTTATTTACTTATTGAGCTGGTACTGGGGATTGAACTCAGGACCTTGTGCTTGTGAGGCAGGTACGGTGCCACTGAACTAAATCCCTGGCTGTACTTTTTCTTTTTTAAAGCCTTATGTCTGAGACGTTTTACCTGTGTCCTCTTCATCCTTACCATGTCGTAAAGCATAATAATTGTAGATGTGGTAGAAGCTAGGAGAAGTTAAAATCTGCTGGTACTCATGTATCGAAGTTAAAATCTGCTGGTACAACCAACCTCCAAACTGCTTAAATTGTTTGTTTGTTTTTTGGTACCAGGGATCAAACTTGGGACCTTGTACTTGTGAGGCAGGTGGCAGAACGACTGGGCTAAATCCCTGGCCCTAAAACTGTTTAAATTGTTCCTTTATTTTTCTGCCATTTTGTTGTGTTTTATGTCAGTGTTTTATTTTCTGTCCTTACAAGTTCAAATTTGTAGTTTAAAAATGAGTTGAAAGAAGCAAATTGAATGTAGTACTGTATTTCTTTGTCAGTATTGTTATTGAAAATTTGTCCCCTCATCCTGCATTTCTTTATTCCTTTGAGGGAAAAGGCTGGCCTCAACTCACAGCCCTTGTGCTTCAGCCTCCTGCTGGGACTACAGGCTTTGTGCCACCACACCTGGCTATATATTTCTTTGTCTCTGATGTGCATAGGTGCATTTTAGGGTGACAGGTGGCTTAGCTGTAGTTAATGGATTCTCTGGCTGATGTGCATCCTTTTAATAGTTTTATTTTTTTAGAGAGAGGGTCTTGCTCTTACCACCATGCCCAACCTCTTTTAATAATTTTAGAAATAAATCAAATGGGGTAAGGAAGATGGAACCAGGATATAAAGTAAAATGTATGTACTTGTAAGAAAAGTTTATGCTGGATGTGATGGTGCACGCCTGTGATCCTAGCACTCAGGAGGCTGAGGCAGGAGTATCACTGAGTTCAAGGAGAACCTGAGCTACAAAGCGAGACCCTGCCTGAAAAAGAAAAACTGTTTGTATGTGGTAGAGAGAGAAACACAGGAATTATCCCTAGATTGGCACATTTTATTGTGTGTAGTTTTTGTGAGGGGATATTTTTTTTTTTTTGGACACTGGGTCTCACTTAGTAGTTCAGGCTGGTCCTGAATTCATTATGTAGCTCAAGCCAGCCTGGAGCTCTGGGCAGTCCTCTTGCCTCCCGAGTGCTGGGGTTACAGGCATGAGCCACCATGCCCGGCTTTTTTTTTTTTTTTTTTTTTT